TGATCCAATGCATAACTCTCGATCGATCGAAATTCATTTACTCTCGAATTTCCCCAGTATTGGTTTGTTCAAATTATCACACGCCATACGTCGTCGATAATGATAAGGGAGGTAGCCCTTAAATCATACGTACACCGTATTCCATGAAACATTCGATTCAAGCAGTTCGCATAGCACTATTCCCATTGTATAGATACCGGAGAATTGGTTTCTTACTACCATTTGGTACGGTTACACGCAGATCTGACGAGCCATTATTTACCAAATAAGGCCAAGTCAATATTGTTTAAAACTTTATGACTGTTTTCTGGAAACGGATTATACAAAGGAGTTTTCCCTTATTGGATGACATGCATTTATACAGAATTATGTAGCATGTATAATAAGATAAACGTGGAAATGATAACTTGTCCGAAACTTACTCCGTTTGTACAATTACGCTTGAAACTTATCTGCATGTGAATCTTCATCGTAAATGCGCGGAGCACTGACACATTTTTCTCCCGACAACGAATTATTTTTTTTACACCAATAGTTCTATTCTATTTTCAGAATCTCTGTGTGTCATCAGCTAATGTAAACATGTTTATGTCTGATTAACCGCAATAAAGCTACATCTCTATATCACCCATGAAACATAGCCTTAATCCTAATATCCAACATTTGTTTCTTGTTCTTTTTTTGGTTTTTGTTTTGTTTTTTGTTTTTGTTTTTTTTGTTGTTGTATTGCCTCGCTTCTCGTGTTTTTATTTGTTTGTCATTTGTTGTGGGGGTGAGTGGATATCGCAGCAAAACCCTCATGCATCTAGCTTACCAGGGACAATCATTATTATATGGACGTCATGCCGATATGATAATCAACCATTATCTGATACATGTATCGATAGAACTCTATAAAAAAAAAAATTAAATGAGATACGTACTTGCATTTATACTTGTGTATTCGTTTGGATACCAACAATATATCATGAGAACAAAATAAACATTGTTTATTTAACATTTAACTTTCGAACTTTTTTTCTTATAAATGATCGAAGCTAATTAAATATGTAGACCAATTTGAAAAGCGCATATAATGTTTATCGTACCTGTCAAATTAAACATTCATAAAGAAATAACGTCATCCAGTTTTGTTTTTGTTTAATCATTTTTTCCCCTATAAATCTATGTACACATAATAAATTATTTATTATATAAAAGCTTATTTCCCTGTTAATTTTGTATGATCTTGCAAATTGTTTTTTTTTTCTCTTGAGAATTACCGGGTTTAGCATATGTGTTGAAAATGATTGTAACACGGGAAATATATAAATGACGCAAGAACCAAGACGCGCAATTGCTGAACGCGCTAACAAGTCAATGTTGCTTTTAGAAGAATAAGAAAACAAGTTATGATTATAACGGTTTCAGTAAACAAATAGGTCATTTAACTAAACATTCCGATTTTATAGTTTATTTCATGCAAACAATTCTAAATTTGCAAGATGAAGATTGGTTAGCTTTTATTCATAAACGAAATTTTTTATGAATTTAAATTAAATTCAAACGACCAGTGAAAACTTGCATAGGTGAAACTGTGTAAGGGCTTCAGCGATTAATATGTTCAAATGAACATGTATTAGGTCCCACTGAGGGAAAACACATGAAAATGAACTTGTATGCGTTCGTGGCTGCCAGAATGACAGGACGGACAAAGGTGTCGAAACTCGAAACTCTCCAGAAATAATGTACATTCAGTCATTCCATAAAAATAGTTACAATTAAGATTAGAACATTATCAAAATATAGAATTTTATATAAATAATTCTTTATCACGTACTCATTTTCCTGAACAGTTTCAATTTTTATACACAGATTATACTAGGTTATTGAGTTAAGCTAGGTTTACTATAATATGAATGTTACGTTACGTTACGTTAGGTAAGTTATTTTCTTGGAAATAATTTATTACACAATTTATGTGAATGTCGAGTGACTCATGACATTTTTTAATATATAAAACGTGTTGATATACACATATGCATATATGTATCTACATTGAATCGAGAATGAAATTTTGGGCGTTATGGAGGTTGGATGTAACGGCGCTTAGAATTGGATAATAAAATAAGCAATAAATACGAAAAATTTAAAGGGATTTTTCTGTATAATAGGACGTAGTTATCTTATACACCCATTATCTGACTAAATTATATTTAGCAGATATTCATTATTACATGTCTGGTAATAACAAGCTTATGTAGGTTAGGTTTTGAAATGCGACATGGATACAATCGGCATACAATACTGAGCAGATGTGTCGGGTGTTGATTGTCACGAATTTTCGCTTATATTAAACAATCTACAATATATAAACGTTATCCTGAAATTAAATTCCTTGTCATTATTTGATATATGCGGTTTTATTTGAGCAAGCGTTAGGTAGGTTCGAATTTTTGGCCATATTAAACAAACGACAATAAAACAAGTAGGTATTGATATATTTAATATTCGCCTTTCTGCTGCGAAATATAAGACTTGTCCGCATTTATAACCACGTTTGTTTCTGGTGAGATTTGGAATAAAAATGAATTTCATGATCTCTCAGAAAGTCTTTATGCCTGGTGGCATGCAATTTTTGTCAAATTTGGGATAAATTCACAATTTGAAAACAAACAAAACGAAATTTCAAATCATTTTCGACATGTCTTTTATTTTGATGGAAAATTTGTCACTTCAAAAAAAAAACACGAGCATCTCACGCTAGTGATGATATTAACTCTAGTAACATCGGCGACCGTTTGTATTTTGAATTGTGTCCATTTTGCGGAAATTATCTGATTATCAGTTGGTCAATCAAGCACATCACTAAGAGCGTGTACATGAATTTTCAAAAACAAATTTTATTTTAGAAAGTAAATGCATCGTTTTAAGGGACAATAACTAATTTGTTCTGAGTTCACTGGACAGTATAGGTTAACTAGGTTAACTGAAAAATGAGTGGTCAACTAAATTCCCGAACAATTCCCACCGTCACTTCCTACTAGTGTTGTTTTGTTTTTACATTTGTTTGTTGTTTTTTTTTGTTGTTTTTTTTTTTTAAAATATGTTTTTTTCTCACAAAATGCATTTCGTTTAATATACTCTATAAAACACAATAACATTTGCGGCTTGCGGCTCCACGTTGGTAAAAATATTTGCAAGCATTGGATTTTCGTAATCTGCCTCTCTTCATAATCTATACTTCAATAAGTGTGCAAAATTGTGAGAGCATTCACAAACGAGCAATGTAAAATGTTGTTCTTGTTGTTGTTGGGCTTAACGCCATTTTTCAGCACACGATAGGCTATTCATGGCGGCCAGTATTAATGGTGGGAAATCACCGGAAAGAACCACCGACCCACGAGAAGCTACTGGCAGGCTTTCTCACATATCTACATTAGCCGAATCCTAGACTCGAACACACGCAGACAGAGGTGAGATGGCAGTGATCCGTAACGGACAGCGCTTTAGACCACTCGGCCGCTCGGGGCCCCCAATGTAAAATGTAAGCGATACATATGAATTTATACGGCATGTACTGGTTGCTCAACTCAATGTTTCCGGGGCTCATTTTCGGTCTGTCTTTCAAATTCGCATTCTCATTAACTATTACAGGATATAAACATTATTTGAAAGTAAATTTTGATCATTCTTTTTGTCCGAGGTTATTGTGTTTTAAGATAACCAACGTCATAAACTGCAATTCACGGCATCTAAAACTGCGCAGAGGACATCATTTATATCAAAGAACCAACTCTAATAAAACTGATAATCCGGTACATTTTCTTGATCATACGAAGTTAAGGTCTTTGTCATTTGTTCTTTGGCAGATAAGCTGTACAACTGTAGTGCAAGAGTTCAGTTCGTGGTATAAAAGACCTGGACACATCCTGTGAGCAATCTCCCCCTCCAAACATTCTTCGGTATGCAACCTTGTACAACTCCCATATGTCAAGGGTTGTTGTTGTTGTTTTTGTTTGGTTTTTTTTTCATCTAATGCTGTCATCTCGTTATGGTTTTGCTTCTATTTTGTTTACATTTGTTTTGCTGTTATTTTGTTTTGTTCTAAAGATATTGTCAGTCGTAGTTAAGGTCATTATTTATCCTGCTGTACAAACCTTACCTACGATTGCGTCAGAAATGTTTACATGTTGCAAAAGACGGCATCAATGGTGTGTATATGAACTTTATATTACTGCTTTCTTACACGTGCAATGTTAATTGACGTATCGCCAGAGGCAAAGATAATCACGCCTATTTATTAGCAAAACAAGTGATACCAACTCAAATTTGCTTCCTTTAAGAGTATATTTAAAAATGAACATGTCACAAACCTGGCTGAAAATGATTATGCTCAAGGATTTATGTTATGTAGTTCATCTAAGGTAGGTGACAAACATTATACAGAAGGTCCCTCAGATTGCCATTGTGCTGGTAATAACGTAATGACAAATACGTTTTCTGGTAACAATACTGGTCGGATGACAGACGTTATACAGATTGTCCTTTAGGGTAATCATTTTATTTATGGGCACCTCTCCGTCCTCTAGCTCCGTGGAACTATCGGCCTTTTAGGTGCCCTTCCGCATGGCGTCTGAAAGTTTATAAAGGCTTTTATGTGTTGTTGTATCCCCACAATATGTTGCATGGTTAATTTTCAGTAAATAATTCAAAAGAATTTGACAGTTTGCCGTAGGGATGTGGCATCATGTCCCACACAGTCACATTCAGTCACACTATCCTGACATCAAGCTAACCAGTCCTAACACTAACCTCTTAATGTTGAGCCCAAGCGAGGCAGCTGTTGTTGTTGTATTAGGGTTTAACGCCATTTTTATGCACAAGATAGGCTATACATGGAGGCCTGAATAATTGGTGGAGGAAGACAAAGGTGAGATGGCAATTATCCAGAAAGAATAGCGCTTTGGAGCACTCGGCCACTCGGAGGTAACTGTTAGTATTTTTATAAATCTTTGTTATTACTTGGCCGGGGTTCGAATCCGCGACCTCCCGCATCCGAGGCGTACTCTCTAACCACTAGGCCACTAGAGCAGTATATATGGCCAATGTGGGTATGTGAGAAAGCTTGCCATTCGTCAGCGGTTCTTTCCTGTGTTTTCCCGGGTTTTTCCTCCATTATTTATACTGGCCGCAATGTATATTCTATCTTGTGCTGAAAAATGGCGTTAAATCATACAACAACAACAACAACAACAACAACAACAACAATTTATGCATTCATATTGTCAGTGTCTTACCTCTCATATATAGTTTCAAAGAATACCGCTGCCGTTTATTCAGTTTCATATTGTTAATTTAAATAAAAAATATATTGTGATGTGTGATAAAAAGCTAGTAAAACAAAATTGTACCATTTTATATTGTAGGCATGTAGCGTGTACTACAATTACATAATTTTGGTCTACGCCTAAAGCTTTAGCTAAAAAATGAGAACGAGTGAAGAAAAAGGACAGAAAGAGTTTAATTTTGTTCAGGAGGGGAGAAAAAAAAACAAGAGAAAAAGGGTATATTTTGGTTACCCAAGTGTTTTTTTTTTCCAGTTTGTCCATGTTCCGTGTTTTGGGGTTTTCAATGGCTTCTCCGTAGGTCGTTCTACCCCGCTAAGAGCCTAGTCGCATAGCTTTGAGGGATCTACGTCTCTTTATTTCCCATATGGACATGAATTCCTGTCTCCATGTTTTATAACGTTTTGTAACTAATAGACTAATATATTGTCAGCTTGGTATTTTTTTAAGCTATAAAAAGTTTGTTTTTGAGACTATTAGTACAAGTTATCCTTACTATAATGAAGATGGATGAGCCCCTTCACCTGTACAGTTTTATATGACTAGGATGTATAGATTTTTCTTATACCTTTATGTCTGAGCTATAATTGTGTGTAGAAGAAAATATGACTTTGGTTTTGAAAACGATTAAGTTAAATGTGTTCTTTTCTTTTAGATCTGCAATGTCCCAAAATGGAAATAGGGAAGGAAGTGAGACCAGCACGCTCCGGGAGAAGCCAGGCTTGTAATTGTGCTCGTAATAACGTCATATCGAATACCTTTTCTAACGATAATATTACTCAACGGTCATGCAAAGGGTATCAATGCTTGCGATATTTTGATACTATTTGATCGCATAAGAGAATTCCAATGCCCCCCCCCAAAAAAAACTAAAGGGAATGAAGGAAGGAAAGAAAAGAGATATAATTATTTTCAGATTAACATATTAATTAATTAAACCCACTTCACTTGGAGAACGACACTGAAAAAAGAATAACGCAAAGTCAGCGTCTGTTAAAGGTTAATAGGTTGACAATAAGAGATCACACTCAAGTTGTCAAGTTTTACGTGGGTTTGAAATTTACTGTCTCATCGTACGAGGAACTGTGAGGGCATGGGGCACCGAGAGAGGCTAAGATGTGTGGAAGATTTGATAAAATAAAGATACTTTTGATTTCATTTTCTTGCATCCTTTTATAATATTTGTTCAAATAAATCCTTATTTCTTTCTTCATGGAAACGCCTAATTTGTTTAACTTTTTAATGTTTTACTACTGAATCTAAATGAACAATTTGTTATTTGACGCAAATTTAAGAAGCAATTAAAACAACAAGTGCTCATATCGTTAAAGTTTAGTTGTGTATTGTTTGCGTTTTTAAATATAAACACACCTTAAATCAGCTTGACACACTAAAATGTGACCATAATTAATATTGATGTACGTATTATTTCATCCCCAATATTCATAATTGCATGTTTTGAACGTACCAAGATCATAATTTATTACTTTGTAAATATCAAAAACATCATCTGCTTACGTCAATGAACTATTTATTGTTCATTCCTTTCACATAACATGGAATGGTAAGAGCGATGAATTACCTAATACGGAAAGAGTTCGAAATCTGAAAACAAACAAAACAAAATGTACAGATCAAGTTTTTCAATTTTCCATGAATATGTACACATCCGCAGTTTTAAAAAAGTTCCTCTGTGCATGTATTTACAACGTAACAACGAATTGCTTAACTCTGTATATCAATTTAATCACATATCAGATGATTTGCTTACAAATTGTGACGTATGCACTCGAACTTTTCAGAATCAGAATTTCATCGGCTTTTTCTGTGAAAAAAAAACAATTATTACAAAGGTAGACAGTTTAACTTTCATTCACAATTATTAGCATTTTAATTTATACCAACTTAACTTTGGAATACTCACTATTCTTTAGGTGCGAAATTAAAACCGCGTGTAGTTGAACAAAATGCCACGCGACATATGGAATTCTCCACATAGAAGCTTGCATCAAAGAAGGATCTGTACTGAGGAATATAGATTTGATCATGAACATTGAGAAATTAAAAGTTATTGAATTTTGAAAATGATGGGGTTTTCATAAGTTTACTATGGGATATGAAATAATATATTGAGTCCTTAAACTCTGCGATGCAAAAGTAATTATTGGCGCTCAGCATTAAGGGGTTCGTGTTAGGACTGGTAGGCCTACTGTCAAGATATCGTGACTGGGTGGGACATGATGCCGCGTGTCGTCTACATGACACCTCAGTACTAGACATTACTATAAACTGCTATATTCAAGACATCATACCTATATAACTTAAATTGTAAAAGCTACGGTAAACACACACACACACGCACGCACGCACACATCATAATCAGAACAATTTCGGTCTTTTAAACTGTTGCCTCATATGTGGTGCACTCCGTCGGAAGCTATCACCATATCCGTTAACTTTTATATGTATTCCTACAACCATATCCGAGTTTATTCTTAATCTGACGGAAATGGCCGAGCGATGTTACGATTGGCAAATACGCCAGTAAGGGAGGCAATCTAACAGTCGGTCTCGCGTAACTATTAATTGAGTCTCTGTCGTCATATTCTTTTAGAATTAAAGATATAACGTTAAAAATGTCGCCATGTACCTCATTTGGCAGATTCTCCCTATATCCTTAAAGGAGCAAAACCAAAACCTTATGTTGCCTAACAATAATGTAGCCTTTCAAAACGGCCCACGCCACAAATGTTGAAAATAGTGTCACTACAAGTTTTGTCTTACAGTTCTCTTTGGAAAGATTCATATCCAGGCATGTTAATGTTTGTGCGGTACTAGTAACGTTGTAGGAAATTAGCATAAAAATACTAATAAAGGAACACACTCAGGTAAGGTATAAGGCAGGGGCCGGGAATCTTTTTGTCTGAGAGAGCCATGGACACCACATATTTTTTTAAAGTAATTCTGTGACAGCCATACATTATGTTTAAAACTAAAAATTCAAGTAAATATGTGCATATTGTGTAATTTCAACACTAAAAATAAAATAATTATGTCTCTGAATTCTTTTTAATAACATTGTTACGCTGTTGCAAATCAATAATGAGTATTTCTTACCACTAATGCGACTTCTGGTGCTGCATGGCTTTGCTAATGGCTTTGTAGTCTGGTTACGTGGTGAGGTTAAGCTTCATGCAGGAATTGAGACTTCCATCCGTTAAACGTGATCGCAGGTTGGTCTTAATGTTATCTAGATGTGAGAAAGACTGCTCGATACATACGTAGTTCTAAACATTGTCAGTACAGCAATAATCACACGCTGAAGTATGTGACGGGAAGCGTGTTCCAAGTTTTGACAATCAGCTGGTCTGCGTGTTGAAGATTTTTCATTTCTGCTCACTTGTGTTGGCTCGCCAAATCTGCTAGCTGTCGTGCAAACCTTTCCAAATCTTCATTCAGTGACTTGAACTTATTCACCCAAATATCTCAGGCCTTCAGGTCAGCAGCTTGGACCTCAAAATCTCTGACGGAGATACTGGGGATACAACTCAGTTCAGTGCTGTCCACTGCACACTCATGTGGATGGGTGATGAACTTAGAAAGACGGGTGTGCTCGTGAAATTCTCCAAAGCGCGTTTTAAGTGACTGCAGAAGATTAGACGTGAAGCCTGCTAGCTGCTGAAGATTAAGATGTTGAGCAGGGTTACTCGAGGTGCACGTATATTTGAACTCTCCCAGTTTCTCAAAGTGTAGTAAACGACCTGTTTTAATGTCGGCGATGAAGAGTTCTAGCTTGTTTTCAAATGCAAACATTGCTTGTTGCAGGGATAAGATTGTATTTCCAACGCCTTGCATTTTCACATTGAGCTGATTTAGATGTTCAGTCATGTCTACGAGATAATAGAACTTCAAGAGCCACTCAGTGTCAGCTAACTCGAGATTCTCTACATTCTTCATTTCAAGAAAAGTCCGGATTTTGCTCAGACAAGCCGCAAATCGACTGAGCACCTTCTCCCTTGACAACCAACGCACGTTGCTGCGCAGAAGCAGACTAGGATAATTATTCCCAACCTCATCAAGCAGTGCTTTAAACTGACGATAATTTAATACACGGACAACAATAAAGTTAACGACCCGAACCACCTGAGACATCACCTCACCAAGCTGCTCGCCACACATCTGAGCACAAAGCGCCTCCTGATGTAGGATGCAATGAAAGCTTATGATGAGTCTGTTTTCATGCTCACAAAGAAGAGCGACAAATCCTCTGTTTTTCCCCATCATGCACGGAGCACCATCAGTGCACACCGAAACAAGTTTATCCATCGGTAAATTTTTTTCTTTAGCGAATTCAGTGAAGGACTCGAATAATTCCTGCCCACTTGTTGTGCCTTTCATAGTTAAAACAGCAAGACTTTCTTCATGTAGTGTATCACCGACAACATACCTTGCAACCACGCTGAACTGGATACATTACTGACGTCTGTTGACTCATCCAAAGCGAGAGAAAAAAAATGGTGCAGCATTTATGTCCTTCACCTGCATTGCCTCAATTTGATTTGACATCATGATGCTACGATCGTGAACAGTTCTTGCCGACAGAGGCATGTCTTTTATCAGTTTAATTATTTTGTCCTTATCCGAAAAGTCATCAAAAAGTTCAATGGAAACATCAAGTATGAATGCTTTGGCATACTCCCCATCTGTGAATGGCTTTCCGTTTCTCACAATTGCTAAAGCGCCAGCA